CTGCTTTGAAGTTAACCAGCACCACAAGTTGTGACATTTATTTCGTATCAGAGAATCATTGAAAAAAATAATTTGGAAGACAGAGATAATCTCCTTCTTCTGGTCACTATTCTGGTCAGATCATATATTATGGGTAGTAGCTGAGCAAGAGTTTTTTAGATCAAGATTTTGCATCTGGATGCCTAAACCTCACTGTGACAACCTCAGCCTATTCATGACTTTGGACTTCAGCTGGAAAAGACAGAGAACACTACTTGAGTATCTGCTGGATTAGAACTCAATGCCTCAATCAAACTAATAATAACCACTTAAGATTTTACTTCATTGTTTAGCAAAGTATAAATGCACCTGCATTTCTTTTTCCTTTCTCCTTACTGTTCTTTTTGCTTCTCCTTCATCCATTATTTATGAACCATTTCCTCCAGCCCATCTCATGCAGCAGCACTCAGTGTAGCATCAGCATACATGGTCAGTTCCTGATTTTCTATTATCTATGAGTGTATGACTTCCCTCATTGTCTTCCTAGCAGAATACTTAGTATGGGTAAAAGAACGGCAAGAATAAAACCTGGCGTCCTTATTTTGAATCGGGATGTGAGTTCCCTGTGATGGGCTGATAAGTTATGTGCCTTTCTGAGTCTTCAGTTTGTTACAGAGGGAAAGAAGTTAGCATAGTGGGGAATTTCCTCCTTCATATTCTCCTGAATTTACAACTCACTTCCATGCAGTGCAAAAAACATGTCACAAACACTCTTGAAAAGGTGCAATTGCTAAAACAGATCTCTGAAACTGGCAGAAGCTTAACATATATATGTATTTGTTTAAAACACTGAACAATCCCAGTTCTCTTTCTTCTACACTTCAAGATGTAGAAATTCTGAGCAGCAAAACTGGAAATCCCTCATTTTTCCCCTGTATTGCATATGTAGAGATTTTAGGGCACGTCTTGTCTGGCAGGACATGACTGCTGGACTTAACTCCCCAGCTCTAGAAGGCTTCAATCCTTTTTCTGATGGCGACAAAGAGGGAAAGAGATGCAGAAAACATTATCAGTAGAGGGATATGTCAGTGGGCCAAACTGATAGGAATACAGACTTAGATGCTCATCTTAGGACCAACATTGAACTAACATTCATACACAAAATGGCAGCGCCTTCATTTATCTTATCTTCATCACCTGTCTTATTCTGTACTTACTAATTTTGGCTAAGTTCACTACGGCATTCACATCAGCCATTCCCACCACAGTGCACCACCACAGCATGGAGCAAGCTTTGTTCCATTGACTCCAAGTCAGACAGGTACAAAAGCACTCCAGACTTAGCAACTGGGTGTAAGGAAAGCCTATGGGAGCCAATGCAACCTCTGAGTGGTAAGCAGACTACATAGTGCCAATCCAGAACAGGTACATACATGTTTACATTGTGCCAGTGGGAATCCAAAGCTGGATTTAATAACTTCAGGTGACAATAAAGAAAGCTGTTACGTTCAGACCATTATTGTTCATGCTGCTTTGTGAATTTATTTCTTTAAATTTTCCACTTGTGCTCCTGCCAAGAGAGATCTATTAGACAGTAAGCAGCAAGAGTAAAACTTTATCATTTTGTTTCAAACTATAAAATAATTTACATCACATATTTTACTTACTTTTGTCTTTTTTTTTTTTGTTGTTTTTTTTTTGTTTTGAAACCACAAACATTCCAGCATCACACTGTAGGAATAAGAATAACAATAGAAAGCATAACCTTTTGCATAGTATTAAATGAACAGACAGAGTAAGTTCTTTATTTACAATTATTGTCTAGATAAAAAAATTCATAAAAACAGATGAATGAACATATATTAATAACCCCTAGTGGGATGGATTGCCAATGTACCACTGTATTGTTGTCCACAAATCTCATGCTGCTAAGTACAGTACGTTGAGAGCGAGCATTTATATATTGCAGGGAATTTAACAAACTGATCATTTTGGTTTTTGATCCATTGTTCCCATCACAGAGAGGTCAAGCAATAAAAGAAAGGAATTGTGATGCACGACTTGTAGTTGAAAGGTCATAGCTATTCTGCTTTAAAAAAAATCTATCATTTATCATATACATAAAGCACAGTCTCTGCTCACAAAAGCCCAAGTTATCTATGCATCTCAGTTTATATATGTTTTACTATATATACACAGAATGCAGTGTTCATTTTCTTAACAGTTTTCAAGTCTGCAAATGGTACCTTAGGGAGGGATACTCCTACAGGAGAATTTAAAAAAAAAATGAAACCAAGAAAAAACATGAAGTTCGAAAATAAAAAGGCAAACAGTCAGTGTTAAGATGCTGAAAACAAACTGTTCCAGTATTAATAACTTTTGTAGATGTTCAAGTCCAAAGCTAGAGGCTTCCCTGTAAATAGATAACACTTTTTTTTTTTTTCTTCTGAATATGATATCCCAAATAGGCCATAGAAACCCAGTACATGTTATACAAAGGTAAGTCACCGTATTTACAAAGCAAAGAACAATCCTGACTGAGTTTCAATCACTTTGTTGCTAGGAATTAGCTAAAATAATAATGCTTCCATGCTAGCTTTTTACTGTTAAGAAACGGGTAACACTATCTGCTGAAAACAGTTGTATGCACCTCCCACGACCTGTTCTGCTGTTGAATGAAAAGTTTGGATCAGATAGCGAACTACAAGTTTGAGCCAAAAACATTCAAGCTTCTACACAAGAGTCCGGAAGCTGGCAATTCAAGCTGATTTGAGCTTTACCTGGCTGAATAGTCTTGATGCACCCTGAAAACGTTTTAGTCAGTTCAGTCTGCAGTTTGGCCATGAGTCTAATCCTGTTTAGGAGAGTTCTGGCTTGGTTTAGTTCTTGTGACTGCAGAGATGCACCATGTTATTAGCCAACCTTAAGACAACCAGTAATACCTTAACAAATCAATTTGTCAAGCTAGTTTGAGAGTTTTTCAACACATCTGGCATAATCAATGGTGTAATTCAAAATATCTTTTGCACTGTACAATTATGGAAAAGATTATATGCTGAAAAGTTTCCAAGCAAACTTTATATTAAATACAAAAATTATTTATGAAAAATCTGTGATCCACAAAGTGCTTAGCATTCAAGTGGTTGACATAGCAATTATATAAGCTCATAAATTTTAAGTTATTAGGGCTGTTACCATCTTGAAAAATATTTGTCACCCTCCTTACTGCAGGTTTTCACAGTAGCTTTCTTTGTGGAAAGCTCAAGGTAAAACAGTGTACTGTGTTACAGTATACTTTGTGACTACAGGAAGACAAGCTTCGTTAAAAATAAAATCACACAAAGAATATCTCAATATACAATTAATATCGTTTCATTCAGACCTAATAGTGCAGAAATGATATTTTCCTTAAAAAAAAAAAATCAAAGCAACAACCTACAGTGCTTTTCATCCAAAATGCCAACAGCCTGTACTTCGTAAGTAATAAGGAAATAAATGCCTATATTACTAACTGAAAAGAATTAACACAATATGTCACAATATTTAAACATTAGTTTGATCTTCATATAGACAAACCAGATATAGCTTATTTTAAATCTGTTATTTATAAACTCAACTCAGTTTCACATATTATCTGTCTAAAAATATTTTCTGGAAGCCATTGCCATATGTTTAAAGAATGAAATAGCCTCCATTTTCAAATGTTGCACCAAAACAAATTCAAGCAGATTATCAGAGGGAAAAAAAAAAAAAGAGAGAACCTGATCATTCTGATTTTTATTTGAAACAAAGGAAGCCTGTTTTACCTCCCTGTATATAGGATCACAATGCTACATCCAATGTGTTATTATATTTTGGCTTCTTTCGTTATTTACTAGCAATATCTACAATATTTAACAAAAAAAAAAAAAAAAAAGGAAAAAAAAAAAGAAGAACCCAAAACAACAACAACAAAAAAACAGGCAGAAATCAGAACGCAGTTGCAATAAAATATCCAGGGTGCGATATTACAGACTTTTCAATGAGCTGAGCTGAGCCATTTTTATACTACTTCGGCAGGAAGTGCTTTCTTAACCCTACAAATAGTTAAGGATATTATCTACAGGTTTGTAAACAAATTACATTCTTTTTTAGGACATAAATAAGTTAAAATAGTCAGAGCAATTTGAGCAGAAACAAGGCAACATGCCAACAAAGAAACTTTATATATATATAACTGTATATATATATATAGATATATACATATATATAATTAATTATGTATATACTTATATGTATATATCTCTATATATAGTCTCATAAATGTTTAAGTTCCTCTGTCCAACTGGTGCAAATCTACTGTGCAAGTTAAGCTTTGCAACTTCAAAAAAGTTCTTTAAATTAATCTATACAATTGAGTCCATGCCACACAAGCATTTCAAAAAACTCACAGACCAGTGAATTGGATAAATAGCCGCAGAAAGAAGTCCTCTGCAGTTCCTGCTTAAGGAGGAAAAAATAAAAATAAAAATTAACAAAAAAGAAAGAAAAAGAAAGAAAGAAGGGCCAGAAGTGTACAGTACATTCATGCAGGATTTTTTTTGTTTTGTTTTCTGAAAGGGAACAAGAGGGGGGGGTATGTAAATCAGCCATTCATTCTTTCCCCAAAACCATTGTGATTAACAATTCATTCACTTGTCTCAGAGTGAATAAGAGTTCAAACAGCTTTTCAGCCAGCAATGTTTTTTAATATATATATTTATAGATTTCGGTTGCTGTGGTTGTTTATTTTATTTTATTTTACTTTAATTATTATTATTATTTTATTTTTTTGCAGTGACCTTTTCAGCTAAAGTGATGTCTCCAGGCTATGTATTGGGCTTCCTGGACTAGAAGAGGTAGCTGATTTACTTGTGTCAGTTGTAAGATTTATTCCACTGTCGATAGCACTGTTGTTCTTGTTCAGTGAAGACGGTGGACTTGAGTTTTTCTTGAGAGCAGGGTCTTCTTCTAGGTCTGTGTCATCAATGAGTGGGATGTGGGGCTGGGAATCTTCTATCCTAAACTCAGGATGAGTCATAAAGTTGTGAATAGAGGTTCTAGATTCTGGTTTTTCTAAACCTTCATAGAGAGAGCTACGGAATGCCTTCACGACGCGGATCTAGGGGGAGAAAAGGAAAGAGGTGTCAGAGGTCACACCTTTAAGGGGCCAGAAAGTGTTAGAGAATACTTTGTGAAAAATGTAGCGTATGGTTAGGGCAGTGCAGGCAGCTGAAGTCCATAGTCTCTGGATGTTATATGCATAAACGAGTGGCTCAGTTATGTGCATTTTGAATATCTGTATCAACTGCAATATTAAAATAAATCAAGTTTAAAGCCATCAAAGAACTGATGGGAAGTACTGGTTAAAGAAAGCGAACGTCCACTCGTGTGGTACATCCCTAGTAAAAGACAAGCCATGTTAATTGTAATGCAAATGTAAAATCATGCATGTTGATAGTTTTGCAGTGAGTAAGTAGGAAGGCTTTTTTATTTTAAAAAAGTCTCTTTTGTTTTGTTATAAAACATTACATATAACAAATCACACTTCACAAACAGAAAAGCACAGAACACAGACACAGTTGGATGGGAACGTATGAGACACACAGGAGCCAAGTGTGAAAATTATAAGTAATACCAATGTTTTAAAGCAAAATCTAAATGAATGCAGCCAAGAGCACAAAAAGCCAAGCAGACAAAATACTAAGCATAATCATGCTACCACAGGGAAAAAAAAAAATCACAGTTACCACAGAGATAACTTGCACACAACAACTACACTTGGAAGCCTGGATAATGTGAACATTGTATTGTTGAACCAACTTTTTCTTTTCCTTCATGCATATGTGAGGTAAACACTCGAGTATAGACCCACTGTTCTAGCCATTTAACTTTTTAATATATAGAAAACATAATAAAGTAATGTATTGATTGTTGGGTTGAATTGAATTGCGTTGTTAAACAGCAAGCTCTTTCATTTTCTGTGTCTCAGTTGTAATACTCTTTGTAAAGTTAAAAGCTGAAAGTGACACAATTGATGCCATATATGCAGTCTTTAAACTAGGTCAGCAGACTTATGCCAGGATAAATCTAATGTTGTTAACCACCTGACAATAAGAACACAGGTGAAAATAAACTACGAGGCTCAGCCCGTTAGACTGTGAACAACAGTGCAAATTGCTTTCTCAGTAAGAAATGAAAGGAGCAGTGAGGGGCATGGCAGAGTGGGGACACTAGTGCTCTGTGGGTGGGCAAAGGGAGGGATGCAGTCCGTATCCCAGTGACCTACAGTTCTGAAGAGACGTGAAGGGTTGTGCTATGTGTTACTACTGAAAAAACATAACTGCTTGGAAAGGAGTGGGGGGGCAAAGAGGAAAAAACAGAATGGCAAAAACGTGATCCGTTGGCAAATGTTTTATGACTAAATATGAGTTCTATCCTACTTCCATGTAGTTCATGAGTGAATTTTTAGCATTTCTTAAAGGGAAAACCAAAACACAGGCAGAGGCAGAAAAGGTGCAAGCAGGCATTGTGAAAGCTTTTCCAAGCACATTTGAAATGGTTGGTGGTAGGTATGTGTGTCATTTTACATGTGAATATGCTGCACATTATTGGTTGGTTTAATATGTCACTAATTTGTATAGTTTTATTTTCCCCTTTAATGAGCAGATTGGTTTAATAGTTATGTGGGCTCACATTGTTACAGCTGCAGGATCAAGCTGACCCTGTCGTTGGAGCTGCCCAAGTCGTACAGAATATCAGCAGATTTGAGAAAGAGGCTGACTTATATTTTGATCTCTTTGAACTTTGTCACTGTTTGTATTCTCTAAATTTGAATGTTCATCATCTTTCAAAAATCCTAAGAGAAGTCACGCCACCTTCAAATGCATGGCCTTTGGTCAGTCCAAATAAATCCCCTTCTCTTTATAAATACATTTGGTAGGATAGAGCACAGTACAAAAAGCAGCTTCACGTGACTACTTATGCTCCAAATAGGAAAACTAACGTGGTATAGAATAGCCTGTCTGGGTGTGGGGTAGTAGATTTCAGGAGGCTGGCAGGTGCAAGACAAGAGGGTCATAGAAGAGCAAGGTTTGTGCACTACTATCATACAGTGTATATAACATCTGTTTGAGAGAGCACCTGGAATTATAAATTAGGGTTTTATGCAAGTTGAATCACTCTGAATTGTGCTCTGCTCTGTGATGGTTCTGTAGTGAACCAGCAAGAGATTAATTTGCATTACTAAATATATAGGATTTGAATTCATATTTCTATGAGTTGACATACTAATTCCCTCATTACCTAGACCTTTCTATCTTCTATTTGAAAGTGCAAAGTAGTTTGTTTAAACAATGAAAAGACAGTATGTTTGCCAAAGCAATCTTTGAAGCATTACCACATTGCCCTATTTGAAATCAGGGAATTGCTCTGTGACATGCCCACTTTATTATACGGGCTGATACAGGGGTATTTTCTGCAAAGCTACCTACTATTTCTGCTCTCTGAATAAAAATAGCAATCATCTCATTCAGTTGCAGCTTTTCAGCATAACTGATTAAACTAACAAAATGCTTCATTCTCTTGAATGTCTCCACATTTTATTACATCGATGTAGGTTCTGTTTGCCAGCTAGATTCTTTTAAAGAGAAGTACATTAAATTTTCACTTAAAAAATACAGGCTTGGATTTTCATATTATGCTTGTAGAGATTTTGTAGGATTCAATACAAGTAAAGCTTTTCTTCAGGCCACACAAGCCATATTTAAGCCTTTGCAGGCTTAAGTTCTGCAGTAAGAAACAACCACTGAAGCCACTGGTAGTCTGCTTAATAAAATTGCAGGAGCTGACTCAGAAAATGATACTACAGGGCAAGTATGGATTTTAACTGTTCATCTATACTGCATTTACTTCCAAGATTTGGAATCCAATTTACATTTAATACCAAGCTTTCAGTCAATCTGAGTAGCTTGCTTGTATCATACGTAGCTGGGGGAAACCTATAGAATCAGACTGTTTGAAAACAAGCTATGAAAACCTTCCCGCCGTGGCCTGAATTCAGTACTCCGCTGGGACTGCTGAAGAACTACTGCAAGAAAAGACATCTTTTGCTTGGACTAGATGTGTTTACACAGCAATCTGAAGGTATTCAGAATGTACGATCAGCCAGCAGTTGCATCACTTTGTGTGGAGATCTTGCAGGAACATTTAGATATTATGGGCAAAGATTCTATATGCTCATAGTGATTTTTAGTAAAAATAGCTTGAAACTTGTTTATAACTACTGATATGTAAGTAGCTGAATGCAGCTGTAACACAAGTGCAAAATTTGGGCAAATCCCTGAAGCTGAGGTTATATAAAGCTAGCTTGTTTTCTTCTCTAGAAGACTTAACATCTCTCTACAGTTTTAGAGTGGTGTATAGGTTTTCCATACATATTCGGGGTTTGCCACCTTGAATACAAAGTTGGCAGTTTAATTTAAATGCAGTAACAATACCCTATTTAAGCTAAGAACTGAAAAGATACTGATTACCTAGAGTTACATGGCCCAACAGCAACAAACTCTATTAATCCATGCTTAATGAAGTTCAGGGTTATTTGAATTAATATCTAGTGTTGAAATGTTTAGAGGCTCTACTGAAGCAAAGCCCACATAGTGTGATTATTTTTTTTTAAAGATAAATTATAGCTGATGATCTTCAAAAAATGTTATGATTGTACAGCATGTAAAAGCAGGGACATACCCATGATGGATAGAACCGAGAACATGTTCTTTTATGAACTATGTGAAGCTCATGTAAATGAGATTTCTTTATGATGCTGACAATGCCAAGGGAAGACAAACAGTGTGATACAGCTCCCTTTTCTCACAGTAATGGAGACAACAGAAAAAAATGAACTGCTTTTAAACAAAAGACTGTGGGAACAACAATTCAGGACATTTTTTGACATGGCTCTAAGTTTCCACTTCTTTCTTCTCTGTAGCTGTAATAGAAAAAACTTGAGTTTCATCCCACCTTGACAGTTATATTTATTATACTGCATTAGGCAAGAAAAATAAAGGAAATAGAAATTTAGATACTACAGTTTTTTTCCCCATCAGAAGAAAAGATGAAGTTCAGAATCTCACTCTTAAATACAACAATATAGGCAAAATACACAAAGCCTCTTTATCATCTGCACATCTGTTATGGTTGGTAGCATGTGGGCTTATACTCGAATGTTTACCTGGCTTCATATAAGCCAAGTATCTTGAGTTTGGTTCACATTCATTTCAGGCTCAAGGTTAAAGACTCACAACCTCTTTTTATTTCACTCTCTCCTGCTGAACCCTTTTGTCCAATGTTCTCTAGCCCTCTGGGAAAACAAACACATTTAATATTCAGACAGTAGAGAGTAGGGCACTGCAAAAGCAAATAAATTCTATACTGAAAAGATCAGTAAGGTGATTAGTATAAAATTGTAAACAAGAGGTCAATTTTGCAAAGAGATGCCAACTCTTACATGTAACTGATACTATTCTATATCAGTAGCATAATTATACTGATTAGACAAAGTTTGGTCAATTACTTTGGGATATGTGAAGCTTAGAGATACAAAGCATATCTTCAGTATGTTTGTTCCTGTTTATTTTTGAATCCTCTGAGTTTAAGGTGTATCAAATTGGAGTAGGTATCACAGGAAAAGATAATATATATATGGGAGTCACGTGTATACATGACTAGGATGTTCTGGATATTCTCTTTCTACATAAATATGCCATAGTTTCAGTAAGCACTGCTGAAAAGTCAAACCACACATAGCAAGGGCAGAATATAATAACCACATCATCCATGAAAACCTCAAGTCTGATCCTCATTTCACAAAGTTTCACGTCTATTACTCCGCTGAATTTTATAGCATGAGATCAGAAGTGTGTCTTCCACTTTCCTAGAATATCTCCTTTATTATAGAATTGTTCCAGATTTTTGGAGCTTAACAATTCTTATCAGATTTGCCAAAGCTTAAATATAAAATACAATCTTTTTAAAGAAAAGATTTCTCTGTTATGACTCTAAATCTTCTTGTCACAGCGCATCTCCAGTTGAAGACTGGACTTTATGTTTAGACTTAAAACATGG